ACATGTATATATATGTATTGTATAAATATACATGTTTTTATGTTCAGACGCTTTCATATTTTGTTTTTATGTTGTATTTTTTTCGGTTTGAAACCAGCCTGCATTTGTCCAAAAATATGTATGTTATGTAGGCTAGTTTCATTAAATATTGAGTGCATATTGTGCACTACTTTTGCGAAAAAATTTTGAAGTATCACTTTAAAAAATATATGTACTTTCGAAATGCGGCAATGTCAATATTTTGTTTACACAGTGTTTTTTTTTTGCGTTCTTGAAAGAGGAAAGCGGGCAGTAAGGAGGGGATGAGGAGAGGTTAAGGAAGAGTACGAGACTTTCTGGTGCTGAAAATTTTGCCTTTCGTAAAAAAAATGTCGGCACTTTTTGAACACGTTATCCACTCTGAACACTTAACGTATTCGTAAATGACAACTTAAAAAATGTACGTAAATACCACTGGTACATTTGGAAGGCCTGTCTTGATACTAGCTGTACTGAAGCAGTGCCACAGAATGTGTAGGGCGGTCATTCACGATCACAGAGAAAGAGGTGCGCAATAAGACGGATTGAGCGATGGAGCCTTTGTCTGTTGCAGTTTTAATGAATCGGCTTATCAAATGAGCGGCAAGCATAATAGATGTCATGGCGTTGTGGGAAGTGATGTGGGTCTGGCCAGGCTCGTAGACTGCTTTGCTGCTAAGCGATGGATATCACGTATCAGTGACTGATGTCCACCTGAAAATAGATGGCTGCTCGGATGACAGGCGGAGGGGTGGTGCGCGTACGTAGTGAAAATAAGAATGTAAATTGAAGGCAGAAGTCTAGTGCAAGAGCTCTTTGGATGCGATTGCGTCTCAGAAACATGCGCGTACACCTTTACAGACCTTTTTTTTTCAATTTTGTGGGCCCTATTTCAGCTTAGGCTCGCCAGCTTCGCAGTTGTTGGTTGAACAGCAATATTAGTTCTAGATTTACTTTTGCCGTAATTATTCATGAATATTTTGACAGCAGTGTCGTTTTTTACATGCTTTAGTTTCGACAGTAGTTGTCGTGCTTTTACCTTCTTCCTTTTGTATCATCACTACGTTCATATCTGTGCCATAGTCGACTGATTAACGGAACTGCTTTCTATGTGTTTTTGCTCTGCAGCATTATATCGCTGCTACACCAAAAACGCGTATTGTCGAGAGGTTGTCTGTGTGTATGTGTGTGTTAAAAAGCGAGTGAACTTTGTCACCCACTTTCATCTCAGCAACTAGGAAAGCTGGGGGGCTGAAAATTTGGGTATATGTTCCTACCCCGTGTGTCATCCTCCCTTTTTAAGGTCTTGCTTCACACGCGCCTAGACCCCGCGTACGGACCCCCGAAAAAAATATGCTGATTTCTTTGGCGAGAAACGATTTTACGAACCAGCAACGTACAAAGCTGGAACTTTGCAGGAATATTCTCTGTGTTTGTGCGAATTAAAAATTTCAAATTCAACTGTCGAGCACGCTTGTGCAGCGCGTACGGCCACGTCAAAATTTGCGACTTGGTACTGTGCTACCTCGGAAACTTGCCGGAAAGCAGTGGCTAAAATTTTGCCAGCATTTTTGTCGTTTATATGGGAAATCGTATACCTAAAATGAGTACCGATTTGCACTTGCACCACGAATTAGGGAACTTCAAAAATATGTAGCGAAGAGGCTATTTCGTTTATCGGATAAGTTTTAGGGCTGAAAATTTGCTGGGATATTTTACTTTCAAGTGCGGTCTTAATTCTGCTTGGAGGTGAAATTCCCTGCAGGTGGGCGTGAAAAATACTCAATCATACCGAAAAATCAGAAACGAGTGCATTTTGTAGCGAACGACCGCCCTCATTCAAACGTGTAAATGAACATCCAGTTCACTTGCATACTTGAATTTTTTGACAAACGACCGCTGTAGCAACTTTTCCACTTTTTATTGAACTGGAAATTTGCATTTTTTCAAAAAGTAAGCATTTACCGAAAAAACGGCCGGACCTCATGCAAAAAACTGGTGATCATGTACCTAGAAGTCCTGCAGCTCTGTAGTGCAACACCTTCATCTCAGCCGACGCTCTTTCTCCTACATGCCGGAAGGCCAATATGAGCCCTAGTGTTAGGCTACAGCGCAGGGATCATTCTTGCTTTTAATGATCTCCGAGTTTAGTGCAAAAACGCATCATCGCACCGGCTCGACTGGTGCATTCCAGCCTGTGTTCTTTGTTTGGCTGGTCACCAAATTTCCTGAGAATTTTTGATTTAATATTTTTCTGCACAGTCCTCACTCAGGCGTCTATCTTGTCGAGATGTGGGGGCGCTAATGCACCGTACCGAGGGACAGCTGGACGCAAGCCCCGGCTGCTTCTTGTATGTTTGTGTGTATGCAAATTCACGGAGGTCCGCTAAATCCACTGTCAAATTTGTTAATGCATTTTTTGTGACGGGAAATGTTGATGAAAAGGACAGCCCAAATATTGCTAACCAATGTGCTGCGACTCGGAAAATCAATCCCTTAAACTGCTTCTTACAATGGTACAACGGTGAATCAGTGTAGCTGTGCATGGAATTTAAATAGCCTCCAGTGTGTCCCTCAGTCAGCTTGGGACAGGGAACCACCGACTCCACTGGTGGTAGCGGGCAATTTTTGTCGGTGATACTGCTGTCGCTTGGACAGAAACTGGTGCTTTCGTCTCCTCTACAAAACGAAATATGAATACATTTCTGATGATGATT